TGACCCTTCACAGACCTGAGGAATTAGTCTTACAGCTGACTAGACCCACAGGATGCATCTCAGAGCTACAGCTCCTTACTGAAAGCCCTCCCTCCTCAATGAAACCAATAGCAGTGACTGTCCTTTCCTCTCCTACCAGACTCTTAGCTTATACAACTTCAGACTTGCAACAGAAAAACATACATACTTACAATCCTTACATTATCAGTAGGGTCAAATCTCTTATTTTACAATTATGTTTCCAGAGTTGTCTTGAATCAAACCAATGCTCCAAGACCAGAACTATCACATTAATGGTTACTTTTCTTTATTATCTACAGAATCTTTTCTGGCCAAAGTAGTAAAGACTCTATAGGAGTTGGATAACTTTACAAGGTGACGGCATTTCTGTGTTTATTGTAAGCTATTTCTATTGTGAATTGCTAACAACTTTTCAAAGTGCAACACTGATTTGGAAATGCAGGCACACTAATACATCAATTGCCATGACTAATGTATAAACTTTTAATGACCTTGACAAAATCAATCTTTCATTGGGCAAGTGCCACTATTTTGACTGTACAAAATGTTTTGGAAATATGTTGAAAATTATACTTGTTTTGGAAAATATTTCAGGATTTCAGTATAGCAAATGGAGCTATATTAAATAAAAGTTTGACATGGAGAAGTGGAGAGCACTCCAAGGTTGTGCAAGTCTTTTTACTTTCTTTTTTTTTAAAAAAAGAGATATTCTCCAAGTGTTGTACATTCACAGAATGCTGACTTTTATCCAAACAAAGTTAAGAAGATAAAATATTATCTTGAATGTTTTTCAGTTTCATTCAGTCACTGTCATCTTCTTGTTTCAGACCACCTCCTTGTTCAGTATCGCCCTCTCCATCGCTTTCCTTGTCCCAGTCCTTCATAGATGCTCCCATCATGAAGTCATCACGCAGTATATTCCATTCTGGCCCCTCTTCAGACTTCACTTCACCCTGAATGTTTGAGGGAAGGAGAAGAGAGAACAGAGGAACACAAGATGAATGTGAAAGGCAGTAAAAGGTGGAAGCTCTTTGTGCAATCAAAATAACATCTCCTACAATTTGGTAGGGCTAGCTCTTTATCCAAATGGTACAAACAAACATGCAGGACAACCATAAATGACTTGATGCTAAAAAGCAAACTTCTTTTAACCAACCAATAAAAGAAATATGGGAACAAAACAATTATTCCACATGGATGAAACAGTCCACCCTGGGCATGGCTTCCTTTATTAAAATCTTTCTTGGCAATCAGAATGGATTCATGATATCATTTATTAACCCCCAGGTGCTGCTTCATTAGAACACTTCTTGGCACATTTCTAAAACACAAATATGGATTTAATAAAGGCTTAACCCCCCCAATTTAATATTTAACATATTCTATGATACATGAACCAAATCCCCTTTATGTGGGTTATTACTTCACTACCTGGGCTTGTCATATAGTACAAAGCTGCCTCTTAAAGAAACAAAGTTGATATACACTTAGCAAGCCAACAACACCTTACTCCAAATTCTCTTGAAAGTGGATAAAACTGAGGCCCACTATACAGACTGGTGAATAATAAAGAAAAGTGACAGAAGTGTAGTTTCAGGCTAGCACTGAAAACAGTGCTTGGTTGCAGTTCTTTGACGTGACACATTTGGGCAGTGCAACAGCCCCATCCTGTGGCAACAGTTTTAAAGAACAGCTTGAAGCTATTCCTACATTCTTACTGCAGGAAAACATTAAACGCTGTTCAATGTACTGATAAGGATTTATCTCTGTGGTTTACACTTTTGTAGCAAAACACTTCTGATGAACAACATGGCTCAATGTCCAGCAGACAAGCAAAAATTTGTGCTACCGAAGTGGAATTAGGGGAACTGAAAACACTAATTTAGCTTTCCAGGGTCTTTGAAACAGAGTTAATGCTGGCATCTTGTGTGCTTTCCCACTTCCATGCTCAAAAAGATGGACCTCAGCTGACTCATCCTAGTTTAAGTGAGTACCACCTCCTGATACCATACAGTGGATGGGATCACCTGTTACAGCATCCTCTGCAGATGCAGATTTGCCTACTAGATGCAAAAAATCACAGTAAATGTATGATTACTGTAGACATTTGCTCATGCCTCTTCTCTGTCATGCATCTAGGAATGTGATACATAGAACCACGGCAGGTTTAAGGTGATGTCTGTGCAGTCTTTGGGAGAGAGCACCATACAGAATTTAATAGCAGGAGAAATGAGGAATAAAGGATGTAGGTTCATCACTGTAAATTTAACACATCATATCACAACAATAGAAGTTATTTGACTGCAAAAAGTGCCAAACAAAGTATGTATTTTTAATAGGTAAACAAAGCAGAAATGCTCAATCTGACTTATTTTTGAAACATTCTGCTCACAAAACAGGGTAACAAGTCTTAACATTCTCCCTCCCTAAAGGAATCTTCCAAGGCCCAGCTCAAAAAAAGAGAAACTCCACAGCTGTTCCTCAAGATGTTTGCACTGTGTTTTGGTTTGGGGTTTGCTTTTGTGTCTTTGCAGCTGCTCTCATTAGTGCCTACACCCATCGACAATCCCTCTTTCCCCCAGGGCAGTGCCTCCTAACCACTTTCCACTCTTGCAGCAATTCACTTCAAATGCTATACCCAGTAAGGCCTAAAAATCATCTCAGACAGGGCGATCAATTACCTGGAATTAAAAACCTGCAGATAAGGTATGTCCCTAGGCAGACCTTAAAATATTCACTTGGGAATAATCTGTACTAATGCAAACACAGGTACTCTGTTCTGGGATGCAAAGAGAGGGTAACTTTTTTTTTCTTTTTTTTCCCTATATTGCAGTTGTTTTATATGTTTACCTTTGCAGAGTAGAGAATGGTTAAAAAATTTACAAAAATCACCAAGCTTTTTTCTTTTTTGATTCCAGATCTTTTATACATCACCGTTTGAAGACTGAAATTTAAGAGAGTTAAATTTAAAATACTTAGATGGAAATATCCCATATTCCTTACAAAACAATCCACTTTTTTCAATAATAATCTCAGCAGAAATTCCAATTTCTTCCCAGATGTGCAGGACAGAGATGTATTTATTTTTTTGCTTGTTTTGTTTTGATTTTAAACAGCACAGAAGCAGAAGATTATGTCAGCTATTGTCAGTGGAAGGCTCAGGATTTGAAAAACCCAGTCTTCAAATTCAGCACAAGCTACTATCCAGCAACCATCAGCCCCTCTTTCTGGCTATGTCAAGTGAACAACAGGACAAAAGCAGAACCTTAACAAAAGAGGGATGCTGATCCTCCATAGCATTACCCACTATGTAAGGCACCACAAAGGCATGAATGAAGTTTTACAAGCCCAAAGGAGAAAGACAGAGGTAGCATGTTCCTGCCTCAATGATGAAGATTTAATGCTTGAAAGCAAATATTTAATCAATTTTAAGCATACTTCCAAGTGAAGAAAACCCCTTGTTCAGTATCTTCATTCCTAACTAATTTACTGCTCTATATTCCCCCCAGAATAAAGACTCCCCAAATCTACTGTACCACAATATATTCCTGGAGTTTTAAGAAAATATGCAGCAAGACCATTTGTACAATTAACAATTAGTACAACTGTAACATCACTTCCCAACTTGCTTTATGTAAGAATGTTAATACACTTAGGTTTTCAATGCCATAATCTGGTTTCATCTAAATAAAACAAAACTGATTCTTGGCACATGGAAAATAAACCAGCTTTCAATCTATACAATTGCTTTTGAACTTCCACTCAGCTGATCATGCACATGTCACTACAACAAAGCCCCCTCTGAACATCCTCAAAAAAACCCCAAAGCAGGCTATATAAACATTAGAGTGTAATGCTACATAACGTGGATCATTCAGTAAGACGAGGAGTGAAAAATTCTGGTGTTGCATTTTTTCCTCTTTTATACGTACATTGAAATGGGTTTGTTCTTTGCCAGAAGGTGTGGCAACCTACTTCAAAAGGTCTGAGAAGCAGCAATTAGTACAATACCTCAAGAGTCACTGGTACAGGGTGATGCACTTGCTATCATGAGCCAAAATAAGACCAAAATGCAAATGTGGTTACTCTAGTGCAAATATGTACTTGCTGTGATGTGCCAACAGCCCAGTTCAAAAGAGATCATATAAATAAGACCATCTTGCCTCCTTGGTGTGCCACCTAAGCTATCCCAGCATTAGCTCAAGTCTCACACAAGTAGGGCTCTATAGTGGGGACACACTTCCCAAACTAATTCTGGTTTGAAGACATACCCTCTCAAATCTGCACCAGGATAAGATGAACTAGAATTCTTAGCCAAGTTGAAATAAAACTACCCATCCTCCCAACAAAGCTTAGTTTTGTCACCTAGAACAAAACAGCCATCCCTTGCAGGATCCAGGCTGGAACTGACTCCTGGGTGCTTTTGAAGGAATTGGTCTATGAAAGCCTCATGGTATAAGCAGCATTTATACAATCAAGATCAAGTTAGAAATCTCCCTGTTTTGGTTCATTTACTTACCTTCACAAAAAACTGAAGCTCTCTACTCCTGAAGCTACCAGAAGCAGCAGCAGGATACTTGTAACCATACATAACTGCTTCAATCTGCAAATGAGTGCCTTAGCTCAAAGCCTGTTTTCCTTTGAAAGCTTAAGGGAATTAAGTTAAGCCACAGGACACTGTCATTTTCATCTCTTGCTTTACTGGCACAGCAACATCCTAACACCAGCACAGGAAAGTTTGCCAGAGCATTTCAGAACCTTATGCTTAAGCAGACCCAAGTCCATAATGCTTATTGATAAATAATGGCATTAGAAGATATGCCTTGAAATCAGGGCACACAGATGAAAGACAGCATTCTCCAGCTCATGTCACTTGAGCATACTCCAGCTTCTGCATCTGCAAAGCAGCAAATATACCTGTACTGCCACACAGTCTACGGCCTGAGTCCAGAAGACAGTAACTGCAGAGTAGTAAGAAAGGAACATTTTTCAGACCTAGGAGTTACAATCAGCATACTGGACTCCCACGCCTTTGCTCTGTAAAAGATGAAATGCCAGAGCTTGCAGGGGCATCTCTCTTTACCATCACCTACAATAAACGTTTATTTGTACTTGTCAGGGAAGGAATTTCTAACATAAATATCTCTCAAGCAACAGCTTTAAGCCCTGAGAAAACAATTCTAACATATCTAATTAATCTGAACTGCCTCCTCAGGTTCCTCTGTTCTGCTCAATACAAACATCTAAGCCCCTGAAATACAGCAAAGCTTTTGTCATGACGCTGAAGATCCACATAACTGCCAAAACACATAACATCTGATAATTACCCTCCCTGCCAGCCTGCATCTTGCTCCAAATGACTGCTGCTATTCAGTTTCTCATCCCCAAGCAAGTCAGTTTAAACCAAGCTCAAAAAATACAAACAAAACACCACAGGCATACACTAAGGTGTGCTAAGTCTCAATTTAAAACAATAACAATAAAAAAACAACTTGGCAAAAAAGGCCAAGGAAATGAAAAACAAAGGGCACCAGCATAATAATTTCCCCTAAGTTCATCTTCAGCAATATCCAAGCTCACAGGGTAAGAAATAAGCTTCCCCTAGGTTGGGAAGAAATAAAGAAAACTGCAGCCGAAGTATTTAAAGTAGAAATATAAGCAGAAAACAAAATGTAATGATTTTTAACAGAAAAATGATCCTTGGCTTTGATCATCAGTGCTGCTTGCAACTTTATCTAATTCGAACTACAGCAAGATCTTAACTCAAAAGAAAGGTTCCTAAGCCTGATCTGCAAGCTGAGAATATAACCTGTACCCCTATTATCTTGAACTTCTGAGCTGAATTCTCACAGCAACTCACTCTGGGAAGCATTTTTCAGCTTGCAAAACACATGAGCTGCACAAGAGAAATCTATTCTGCTGAAGCATAATTCTACACAATAATTTCTTCCTT